TGACACTTTCTGTGATAAATGCTCAGCTGCTAAACATTTAATTTTTTTGAGAATTCAATTTGATGTACTTCGAAATGTAACGCTTTACTTGCGTTTGAACTGAACTTATTGAAATTAACTTCTTAATAAATAGGCTCTAAGTTTTACATAATTCCTAATAAATTTGTCGTTATTTTATCATTTCATGTCAAGTATGAACAATACAATATGCAAATAAAACAAAGATGGATTTTGTCTTTTAATGACATTTTTACAACTGATATTAGGTATTTTTTTGGACAATTAAATTTGTAATCATGTTTAGAATTAAAATATTCTCAAGTGTAATATAAAATTATTAGTTTTATTTAGGCCATTGCAAAGTTGCATTAAATATTAGAATAACTGAAATATTATTTTACAATCATAATTTTAATTAAAAATAAATTTATAAAATGTGCATCTGTGTAAATAGTAAAGATATATACAGTGCTCCAAAAAAGAACGAAACACTCCGAATAATTTTTATCAGATTTGTTTGTTCTAGGACTAATGGTTCAAGGGGGTGACCTCAATTATGTGAAAGATTTTATAAAATCAGACACAGAAACTCTTTTAATAAAGATGATTTTTTTTCAAGGATTTATCTTTGTTGAACCTCAAAATATAGCTCCGAAAATATGGTCTCAATAGTTTGTTCAGAGAGATTTCGGAAGCTGGATTTCTTTTTATGTATTTCGTATTAGCTTGAGATCGTTTAAGTTAAAAATCACATAAATCGTCAATACACTGATAATTCCTTGCAAAAATTTTCTATGATTTTATTTAATAATAGTCGAATTGTTAGGTACATAAATTTTTACAACATTTTAATGAATGTAATTTTATAAGGTAACAAACAGAATGTAAACAAAATCGGTCGAATAGCTCCAAAGAAATCGAATTATAAATGTACAACTTCATTAAAATTCCTTTTTTCAGGAACTATTTGACCAATTTCAACCAATTATATATTTTCCGTTATGAAATTTATATTGCAACTTAATTTTTTCACCATTAAAAATAATAAATAATTATTAAAACATTCCTTAAATGGAATTATCTTTTTGTGAATGAATTATTTATAATTGTGTACAAGAAATTTTCCATTAGTTCAAAAAGTTGTCTAGTTATGATGAAATACAAAAGAAAGTAAAATTAATATTAAGGGGTTTCGTCTACTCTACAGTCCAAAATAATGAGACCCTATCACCAATTCAAATAATAATTTTTTAAGCAGAAAAAATCTCTACAAAATACCAGAAGAGCCACTTCAAACTGCAATAACCTTCAAACAAAGTAAAATTTTGAAGAAAAAACAATTGATTAAATTTCATAAGTAAAATTGGTTCTTTCAGAACGTGAAGATTCAACTTCATAATTGCATTTAACGGGCTGTAAATCGGGCTCTTCTTAGAAGTTTAACGCTTGATAATTCCTGAACTCTTCCTTTTTTCATACATTTCTCATACAGTCTGTTCATTTTTCTACGCACCCTCTCAATTTCAAGTTTCTAAATTTTGTAGTTTTTGTGTTTAAAATGAAATATAACGAGAAAGAAAATAGAAAAAAAATTCGAAAATTTGAAAAGAAAACATCAAGAAGAGAAAAAAAAAATTTGATAACTTTTGTGATAACTTTGAACCAAAGTAGAGTTTAATAAAGAAAAATATCAAAATAAATTCATAAGCAAAACTGACTCTTTTATATTGTCAAATTTTAACACTATGGCTACTTTTTTTGGACTGTCAAGGTATTTCTGCGACATGCATAGTATTTTCGAACACAAATTTAACAATAGATAATTCTCGAACTGATAATCCATTCCATCGCACTCTTTACAGTTTTCTACACACTTTCAGAATTCAAGTTTCGAAGTTTGATAGTTTTAGTGCAGCAAAGCAAAATGTAACGTAAAGTTGAAATCTCAAAACAGCGGCGGCGCTTACATTTTTTGTAATGTTGAGCAACAAAAAAAAACTTTAATTCCTAAGCTATTGCTACTACGTTTCTGTCCTGTTTTAATCTCAACACTAAGAACAGTGATCTGTTTACAAGACTTCCTTCACCGCGTAAATCAACTGCACGAACATTTCTCTGCACGAATTATTCCTACAATTGAATCATGATTTCCATTGTTCTTTTAGTTAAGCTCGACATGAAAAGGTAACGGTATTTAATTTTATTTTTACAACCGTCGCTGAACAGCCGACCCAATTGTTTTGGCTTGTAGCCTTGTAATTTTGAACCTAATCCAGAAGACAAGAGGAGCTCCTGAATCAAGTATTATAGGGGAAATTTGATTTCGTTGAGGACTTTCTGATGGACTAGCCCGTATTTGCGTTACATGGAGAGGAAAACTACAAAAACCTCTCACGGTTAGCCTAATGGCAAGGGGACTCGAACCCATGATCCATCTACCTCTGAGGATATTTCATGTCAGTGTTCGGTGCAAGCCAGATGCGGAATCTGTATCGACTGGGATTAGAACCCAATTCGCTGCATTGTAAGGCGAACTCTCTATCCCCTTAGCGGCACTTTGCAAATCATTATTAGAAAAAGAAACGAAACATTTAGCTTAAGTCACATAATTTGGGATCGCGGTTTACTTTTAAAGAATGTTTAATAAGTGAATTTAGTCGCCAAATAAATTCGGCAGAAATTCATCGGCAATTAAATAGACGTAAAGAAATCAACAGGAATCATTTTCAGAATATTTTATTAACATACGTGAAGTCGGGAGTAATTTAAAAGCCCCGATTGAAGAATATTCTTCAGAGACGTGGTGGTTCAGGGAATGGAGTGCTTACCTCCCAATGATTTGAACTGGGTCAAAATCCGGCAATGTCTGGTTATCTCGAATGCCGCACCCGTCTTACACCAACCGCAGCGCTGACGTAAAATATTTTCTGTGGTAGATGGATCATAGAGTCCTCTAGACGTCACTCTAACCATGAGAGTTTTTCGTCAGCACTGGTCGGTGCGAGCCATTTGCGAAATTTATATCGACCAGAAAGTTACAGTATATAAGTAATGGTATGTAGGTATATTAATAAACAATGCTATGTGAGGGGTGGCCACATACCTACAATCTTTGTCCATGTGTAGTGAGGTTGAGGAGATCCACTGGCAACACAAATTACGTGAACTTCGGAGCCTTCAGTAACTTCAACATCGAATGGTTCTTTTAACCAACGCAGGGGTGCTGAAAATGGAATTAAAAAACACGAAAAGTCACAATTAAGCTTATTAAAATAAATAATTCTTTAAACTATACAAACTTTATGTTAAGAATGTTAAGCAAAGCGATGTAAAAGCATAATACATTCCTTATTTTTCAAATAAGCTAGTTTGAAAATTCTAGAAAAATTTACATGACTAAAATTTTTAAAGCAAAACTCATTTTTACCATTGAGGAAAATTTCACTCTATTTATAAAAAATAATTTAAAATTTTTTTTAACAAGATAATTAAATTAGGTGTTAGTTTTTCTATAAAACAAACTGCTTTCCAAAAAGAAAAGATCTAAATTGAAATGATTTGGAACGAAATTGTAGTGCATGAATTTTGAAAGCTTTACAATCATTATTTTTTTAAACAGTGTTTTTAACGTTTGCGAAGTAAAGAAAACAAACTGTTTAATCAAAAAAGGAAATTAATTTACAAATTCATAAAAGACAAAATAAGTAGGTAATATTGAAAATAATAAATCAAAATATAAAAGCGCATAAAGCAGCTGAATCCAAATTTGTTTTATTATAATTTATAAAATCAAAAATACAATTCTAGCAGAAAACAACACAAATTTTAAAATATGTGTGTTAGTAGGACACCACTTCATCAGGGGTAGTGAAGTGCTGTCCTACTTAGTGCTGTACTACTTATATCTTAAAAGTTTTGTTGTTTTCTGCTGGAATTGTATTTCTGATTTTATAAATTGAAAACAGACTGTTTTCATAGTGGCAAAATAGTGATGCATACTCACATTTAAAACAATTTTTAAATGTAAGTAAGACTTTAAATAATATTTCCACAGATAAAGAAATAAATTCATTATATCTGCATCCCTTTTTCAAAATCGAAATTTCAAATATTCAAACATTCATAAGTTGATTGTTAAGTAATAACTGGGTGCATTTTTCTCTAAAAACCTCAAATAAAATTTCAAGAGTCCTATGATTTATTTTAAATGGAAAAAAAACTAGAAATTAAAGGAAAGAAAGGTTTTAAATTTTACTGATATGGAAACAAAATATCTATAATTTGTATCGCAATTGAGGATGAAGATTTATTTGTCAAACAAAACAAAAATATTTTGATTTTGAAAAATATTTGTTTAAGAAAATAAATCAAGTGAAAAAATAATAAATACTTTGAATATTCCTAAATCCATAGCTTCCAAACATTTCCGAAATTCTGAAAATTTTTATTATTCAACTAAGAGTGAAATTCCTTTAATTTCTAATATCCATTTAATAATTTTTGTTAGAATGTTATTTAAATCTATTGTATATAAGTATTTTTATACACTTGAAAGTACCGGTATTTATTAATTATTCTCTTAAAAAGTTATTGAATTTCAAAACATTTATTTATATAATCATTAAATAATCTGTGTTACTTACTCCACAAACGTTTTACTTGATAGTTGGGAGATATATTGCTTTTCATAATATGTTCCTTTTCAGAGAAAATAGAAGGACTCATTAAACATTGATTTAGATTCAAATTAAATTTTTTTCTTACGTTTTTATGAGTTTACTAAAAGGACATTACATAGTGTTATTTACTGCTTCTAAAGTTTTTCTCACGCGAAAAACTGTTTAAAAAATAAACATCCGAAACAAATAGTTATCAACTAAAGGCCAAAGAAATAAATTATCTATAAAAATGTTGTAAAAAGAATATAATACCTTCAACAACAAGAGTTGCTGATGCAGTGTCATTTCCAAATGCGTTTTTAGCAATGCAAGAGTAATTTCCAACATCATCCAAGCTGACTGGCTCTATGGTGAGAATGCTGGCATCATTCAAGCTTGAAACTTTAAAGTTGGAAAAATCAGAAATAATTTTTTTGCGATTTTTAAACCATGAAAACTTTATGGGAGTTGTACCGCCACTTACGCAGCCAACAGATGCTTTGCCGCTAACATATATCTTTGAGGCAAAATTCATTGGAATTATTTTTGGTGGTTCTGAAATAAATGATTTATAAAAAATAATTAATGAACAGGAATTTTTATTCTTTGAGTAAATTTTAATACAAATTCATTATATTTCACAATTGCTTTTAAATTCCTATGAAATAAAATGTATTTTTATATTAGTCATAAAGCTCTTTTTTCTATTAGATATATGGAACGTTGGAAATGTAGAAAATCTCAGTATTCGGCGCGAAGCGCCGCTAACTGATTCGTCTAAACTGTAGAGTCCTAAGTTGAATGGGCATAAATTTCAAGATGAAATATATGTGATGAGAAAATTTACAGTGAAACACTGTAAGTCCTGATGGTGGAGTCCTGGGAGGATGCAGAACACAATCAATTCTGTGGCTCTGGAAGTAGGGAACGGAGCAGCTTAACAAGCTCTTCGTTTTGAAGTAGTTCTTTCATCTCTTTGAAGATGAGCAGGAATCTGCTGGCAGCATCTTTTGTAGTCTTGGGTTGGGCTCTTCTTCTATGAGCGGGTTTCCTGGGTCTTGCACCGCAGCCCGAAAAACAGGCCGGGTGCTCACCATCACAGTTAATGCATTTGGCGGGAATGGATCTGGGTTTCGTACAAAGGTACGTAAGATGAGCTTCTGCGCATTTCATGCAGGCTGGTTCGGTGGCTTGGCAGTTGCGCTGTGTGTGGCCATATTTCTGACACCTGAAGCATTGTGTCTGGAATCTTCCTCCTCTGAATCTTTCTGCTATCACATCTCTCTCCAAAATGGAGCTAATGTTGTAGATTTTTCTGCTGGTGGGCGTGTCCATCTGTATGATGAGGAAGAGTGGGAGGGGCCTAAGCTCCTGCCCACTTCTTTTACTAAGCTGAATGATCTTTTCTGGATGAATTCCATATTCGATGAGATATTTTTCGAGGGCTGAAATATCCGTTTCTGCAAGCAGTCCTCTGATGAGGGTTTTAAGTTTTGGATTTGGAGCCATGTCCAGGGTTGGGCTGGGGGTAGAGCTGGGGCCCACCGAATCGGCAGTTTCCATACTCTCCGTCGGTAGTGTATCATCTGGGATATCGGGAGCTGGGACTTGAGTGGGCTCGCTATCGGAAGTAATGTCAGGGAGCGTCGCCTGGTTGACACTCGTTTTCGCCTTTTTTCTCTTCTTCTTGTTTCTTTTCACAGTGGGGTCTGGAATTTCTGTAGTGTCCATTTCAATCGTTGGAGTAGGCACTGAGTCTTTGATAGTGTGCTCTTCTTCAGGCTTTTGAGCGTTGGGCACTGGATTGGCAATTGGAGTTTCAATCTGTCGATCTTTCTCTTCCTTCTGCTTCTTTTCCATGGAGTTGAGAAAACCTGCTGCTCCATGCATGAGATAGAAATATATAGGATTCGCGCGCCAGTCTAATCCCTTTCGGAGTCTACAGTATGGGTGATACCATCTTTCTAGTTCTTCCAGGGTAAACTGTAGGTAGTAATCTATTACTTCATCCTTTTCCATACTCGTAATCGGGTGAAAGTATTTTAGGGGAATCCCACTTTTCTCAAGAAATTCCTCTGTTGAAGTTTGGTCAACTTTGTTCAGTGCACTGTTTCGGCCGGTGGCCGGGTAGACTTTTCCACCTCGTCCAGTTCTATGATACGGCATTGCTGCGCTGAGATAAAACACGTCTTTACTCGATCACGTCATGAGCTGATCTCTCTGGTCTGGTCTCTATTAGATATATGTTAGGAATAATACATATATAGTATACATAAAATATTTAATAAATGATATAAGATTAAATAAAATCTAGAGAATTATTTGGTAAAATAATAAAAATTCAAATAATGTAGTATAATTAAAGTTATATTGCTATTTTAAGAATACACCCGATTCAATTACAATCCATAAAGTAAACAATGCAACTTTCAAAAAATTAAGATTAACGTTAACAGACTTCCATAGCATCTTTTTTCAAAAGGTTGCTTTTAAAAATTGTTAAAGCGGTTTACATTAATTTTTATTTAAAAATGAAGTCACGCTCACATATACATAAGAAAAATGTAGGCTTACCTTTACAATTTGTTTCTGTGTAAGCGAGAATGAAGAAAAAACACACACAGCACAAATATTTCTGCTTCATCATAAAGGTTCAATCATACCACATTCATACATTGAAATCCTTCTAGAATTGAAGTTTTGAGATAGCTGCTATGAATACATCTTAATCCCGAAACATTTTATTAATGCACTTTCGTGCAAATCAAAATTGCTTGATGTGACAGCAAAGCAGATAGCTAGCTCCACATAACGGATAATAAATAAACTAAATATAACAATTCACTAATCAACAATACGTGAGAGGGAAACAAGATAATTTAAGTTGCTAAAGTTTAGCATAATTAAGTTTTCATGTAAAAAATTATACACAGGTATTCATTTGTATTGAACAACATTTAAAGAATGAATTTTGTCTGTTTTGCTACCACGTTTCATACTCTGAATAAAGTAATACATCGATGTCAATGAAACAAAATAAGCTCTCATACAATATTTATATATGCAAAATCAATTATGAAAATAAGTGTACAACTGTTTAAAATAATGCGTTGTGAGTATTTTTTTTAAATCATGAAATAGCGCTACATATCATAAAAAGAATGGTTGCTTACGTAAAAATTATAAATATCTACAGCAAACAAAATGTAAATAACATCGTTGATTTAAGAACATTGTATCTCTTGCATCATCTTACCGTGGACAACAACTTTTGCCGATTTTTCGAGATGTTCGCCGACACCGTTCTGTACTCGGCAAGTATAAGTACCGGCATCACTTATTTTCGTCTCTTTAAAAGTGAGATGACCCTCCAATGAGTTGATTATAATCCTCTTCTCGTGATTATTATCTGGAAAAAGAAAGTATATTCTAGAAATTAGTAAATAGTAAGAACGTATAGATACACTAAGAGCTTTTTTGTTCTACTTAAGGTAATTATCAAAAAATTTTAAGATGAACCACGAATAAATCAATTTGATGAATGAGAGTTCGAGAATTTTCTTTGATATTTAAATTAAATTTTTTATTTTAAAAAATGTGAGCCTCGATGGTTCAGAGGATAGAGCGTTCGCCTTTTAATGCTGTGAACCGGGTTCGAATCTCAATGATGGCTGGCCTATACGAATTCCGCATCCGGCTTGCACCCACCACAGTGCTGACGTGAAATATCCTCAGTGGTAGACAGGTCATGGGTTAGAGTCTTTTTGCCGTCAGGTAAACCGTGAGAGGTTTTCGCGTCTTCCCTTTCCATGTAACGCAAATGCTGGTTAGTTTCAGCAAAAAGTCCACCATGAAGCCAAATTTCTCCCATTACTTGATGCAGGAGTTCCCTTGTCTTTTCGAGTTAAACATTAGGAGTCGTAATCCCCAAAAAGTGGGTCGGCAGTTTAACGATGGTTATAAAATTAAAATATAAAATGTGTAATGCTATATAAGAGGGACCGAGGGTGTGCTGTATTGGTCCTCGTTAAACTGTTTTACCGTAAAGTGCTCGACTTCGCGTGTAGTTCGTTGTGGTACCAAAGCGGGGGTGCCATCCCCTCTCCAGAGGATCGAAATTGTGATGGTATGTTTTCGGATCATCCTCAGGGATGTTTCACTGACCATCGCCAATAGCCCATTGTGCAGCTCTAGTGCGACGTAAGGAAACTACTGCTGTATAAGAGGTGGCCACATACCTTCAATCTTTGTCCATGTGTAGTCAGGTTGAGGCGATGCACTCGCAACACAAACTAAATGTGAGCACTCAATAACTTCAACATCGAATGGTTCTTTTAACGATTGTAGGGGAGCTGAAAATAGATAATAAAAATCTTCATCTAAATTTAAAAAAAAAGAAGCTTAACTAAAATTTAAGAAAGCAGTAAAGTACGGTATGATGAAAGAATACGTTGGTCAACATTCTGCCGACCGAACTAAGTAGGGGTCAGAGAACTGGCCTTGCATGGGAAAGGTTCTTTGTTCGAATCCCGAGCAGGGCAGGGATGTTGTTTCATTTTGTACTATCTCTCCTTACTGTGGGAGCAACGTTTAGGGTGCCCTTGGGTGCCAATAGGGTGCCCTTGAAAGAGTGGCCAACAAATCTGCCCCATAAATGCATCAATTGACAAAAGGTTAACACAGGTAGGCATTGGAAATAAAATAAAAGGATTTTAATTGTATGAGAGCAAGATTTCCTAACTTTGAGAGAAGTTTGTAACATTTTAAGCGTGAAAGAGTCACAATTAAGCAGTTCAAAATAATTTTTTTATTTTTCCAAATTGAACATTTATTGCAGGGTTAAGCAAAAGTTTAGAACACTTTAAAAAATATATATATATACTGTAATTTGATCATTGCACTGCGCTTACATGATCGCAATTACATTTATTTTTTTAATAAATAATACCCATTTTTACTATCGAGGGAAATTTCTTTAACAATTCATTAAAAAAATAGTTAGGTAACATGTAAATTTTTAAACATAACTTACCGTTCTTAAAAAAATAATCATTTTGAAAAAATTTCAAATCACATGCTTTTTGAAAGTTTATTTTCATTATCTTTGAAAACAGTCTTTATCGGGTTTTGTGCGATATAAACTCTCGTCCAGAATTATAATAGATTGACGCATTGTAAAGAAAAGCATAATTCTATTTATATAACTGTAAATATAAGTAAGTGATTAAATGCATAAAATCATACTATCTTGGATTAGATAAAAATACATTCATTAATGCCTGCAACGTTTTCACAAAATCAAAAATTTAAATATTTAACTACTCATTATTTAATAGTCAAGTATATTTGAAGTATTATTGCATATATTTTGGAGGTAAAAATGAGACTAAAACTTTACATACAATATAACTAAACGAGATTTGATTTAAAAAGAAGAACACCAAGCAATAAAGAAAAGAATATTTTAAAATTTAATTACGTAAACAAAATTATCTATATTGATTTGTATCGGAATTAAGTGTTATTACATGATAGAGACATGTTTGTCTAACAAGACAATAATATTTTTGTTATAAAAAAATAATTGTAATGTAATAGAAATTAAGGAATCATTATTCCGTAGATTCCAACTGTTTCGGATTTTCTGGAATGTTCTATTTTTATTATTAAAATAATAGCAAAATTCATTTTTGGTCCGAGATTTAATAATCATATGACCATATTCTTTCTACACTATTTTTATATCACATTACATAGAATTATTTTAAACGTACAAATTTTAAGGGGTTAGTTAATTTTATAGTATTCCTGTATATAGTCGTCAATTAAATTGTTGTTTTGCTAACATTGCAAACATTTCCTTAGAAAATTGGTAGTTATATCATTTTTTTTATAAATGTGTACCCTCAGTTTTTAAAAATGGAGATACACGTTGAAAAACTTTTTAGAATATTGATTTAGTTACAATTTTGATTTAATTATAAAAACGGCATAAATGATGACTGTTTTTAAACTAAGTAATAACGTTTAAATTAAACAACTTGTTGAATGCAAATTTTAATGTCCATCTATTGCTTTTCATTTTATAAAATTTTATTTCGCAATAATATTGGTCTTGCAGTGGACTGATCCTAAGGACACGGTTCCCATCGAAGTCAAGCATCACTGACAGCGGTTAGTAAGAGGGACTACTTTTAACAGTTTGCTTAGGGACCGAGGGTGTGCGGCATCGGTCCTTCGCTCGCAGGTCACCGAGCTACCAAAGCGGAGGAGTCTGCAAAGGATGGCATGTCACGATTAAGGATTTCTCCCAGACTCTTCCCAATTGTGCAGTTCTAGCGTGACGTAAATAAGATGCCCACCTAACTCAATAATTTTGCTGCCTAAAAATATGAATCGTAAAAAAAAAGTTTAATTGAACAACAAAACTTCATTTAAATCTTCAAACTTTGTGAACTCATTTTTATCATGCGGTAATTTTAAAATTATATCTATAAGTTCGCTAAAAGGATGAATCATATAGTGCCCTTTCAAAAGTATTTTCCCACGAAAAATTTTAAAACAAAATACGAAGCATTTTACAAATTTATGCTCATAGACAATATTAAAAAAATATTATAAATAATACAATACCTTCGACAACCAGAGTTGCTGTAGCCGAATCATTTCCAAATGAGTTTTAAGCAATGCAAGAATAATTTCCAGCATCATCCAAGCTGACGGGCTCTATGGTGAGAATGCTGCCGTCTTTCAAGTTTGAAACTTCAATCTTGGAAGAATCATGAATAATTTCTTTTTGATTTTTAAACCATGAAAACTTTATAGGATTTACTCCACCGCTCAATAAACAGACAACTGAAGCTTTACCACCGATATAAATCATCGGAGTAAAGCTTATTGGAGGTATTTTTGGAGGTTCTGAAAATCAGCAAGGGAGAATGTAATTAATAAACAATAAATGTTTTTTTAAATCATTTCATTACATTTAAAATACTCAATGGAATATTTATTAAAAATTTATATCTATATGTTATTCATATAGCTGTATCTTTCTTTTCCATTTATACAGTGACAGAATGCGAACCTAAAATTTAAAAAATGATAGAATTCTTGTACATTTACATTAGATGTCTCAATAAAATAGTTAATTTGTTACTACAAACATGTGCAAACATAATCAAGAATGTGAATAATTGGGTTGATACTCCAGCAAGTTTTCCTTCTGAAGAATAAATTAGAATAAGTAAGGTAACTTTGCAAGTGTCAATATTTTTTTATTAATTACTGCTTTCTTGATGGATGGACAGCTTTTCTTGCATTCTTTGGCTCTTGTTCCATCACCGATTTACGTCTAATATTTTAGTACACTTAAAAGTACCTTGTCGGTGTAAGACAGAGCTAATGTTTTAAATTAAATATTTCTTTGTAAAATGCTGAATGAAAGATTAAAAAGTCTAATTTCGTACTTTCATAACAGCACTGTTATTTATATATCCTAAAAAATATTCAATTTAATTCCGTAAAATAAACGATACTTCTTACAATTAATTATGAATGATTAGTGTTAATCTATTATATATAATTCTCCTACCTGGCTCCCAAATTTTGGCTGTATTTCTTTTCAGCCGGTGGCAACGTTTGCTTTATTTTGAAAACACCAAAGCATTCTGCCTTTTAATGATGTGTTTCTGATCTAATATATATAATTCTCTTACGTGGCTCCCAAATTTTGGCTGAAGTACTTTGTACAACTAAATAAGATTCTTTTCACAACACTTAAATAT